TGCTATACAATCTTTTTCTTTCTTTCTATTGTATGGTGATATTCTCCATTTTCATCTTGTAGTTAGTGGATAATTATTTTTTCTCTTTCTTTCTTAAGTTTATGTGAGAGCCACCTTCCTGGTTTGTTAGCTTGTTCAAAGAATGTTTGTCTGGCTATATTTAGATTTTTAACCATTTTTTCATGATCTACTAGGTTAAGTTTGTGTTTAGTTAGCATCAATTGTTCTTTTAATTTAGTATTTTGTGGAGCATTTTGTAATTTAGTCTCTAGTTTCTTGACTGTTTCCTGCAACTTATTTTGTTGAGCAAATTTTTCTTTGTTTCTTTTTGCTGTATATGATATTATGATCCCCCGAGTTACTGCTTTCATGGTATCCCATAAGTTCTGTATTGATATGTGTTGTCTATTACTTTCCTTAAAAAAATATGTTAGTTCTTCTCTCAATTTCTGAACAAATTCAGTCTCTTTTAATATTTGTGTGTTTAGAGGCCACCTATGTCTTGTTTTCTTTCTACCTCTCCAACTTATTTTAAGTGGGTTATGGTTGGCCCAGCAATTTGGTAAAATTTCTATATCTTCCACTTCCTCTCCTATTTCTCCTCCCACCCAGGCCATATCAATGCATGACCACAATTTGTGTGGGTTGAAATAAAAAGTGATTTTTTTTCTTGGTTTAGTTTTCTCCAAACATCTATCAAATTAAGTTCTGTAAACATTTCAAAACATGCTTTTGGTAGTTCTCTTCTTTCCTTTCTTCTTTTCACCTTTATAATCCTTTTGATGGTCTACTATTGAATTGTAGTCTCCTATGATACAAATATTTCTTCGTTCTAATTCAATAATTTTATTGTGTAGCATTTTGTAAAAATCTTGTTGATTTTCATTAGGTGCATAGATTACTACTAAAAATGCCAAGGCCATTTGCTTCTCTGGGTATATTTCATAATATTCCAGTGTATTCAAGATTATTCTCATATTATCTTTAATTTGCCTCTTAGGCAGAAATCCATTTTGATCAGTGTGTATAAAGTTATTCAGATATCTTTTAAGTCTTTCTGTCATTATTGAGGCAAAGATTTTGTAATCTGCGTTTAGCAGGGATATAGGTCTATAGTTTTTTATTTGTTGTAGGTCGGTATCCTCTTTTGGTATAAGAGTAATGTAAGCCTCTGTCCATGAATTAGGTATTTTAGTTTTTGACAAAACCTCCTTCACCACTTCAAGCATTGAAGTACTTAAAGATTTCAGTAAAGTCTTGTAAAATTCTACGGGTAGCCCATCTGGGCCTGGAGCCTTTCCAGTATTTTGTCTGTTTAGTGCCTCTGTCAATTCTATCATTGTTATTTTCCCTTCTAGCATTATTTTAATATCTTCAGGTATTTGGAGTAGCTCTGCTTTTTGGAATTATTGTTTAACTTTTTCTTCAATGTTTTCTTGATTATATAAATTTTCATAGTACTTCTGTACTATCTCTTTCTTTTCTTCATTTCCATTGCAAACCATTCCTTGATCATCTATAAGTTGTATTATCTTTTTCATTTCTCTCTTTTTTTCAATTTATATGCTCACCATCTACCTGGTTTGTTTGCATTTTCGGAAAAGTTCTGTTTGGCAATCCTAATTTTTTGAGCTAATTCCTCTTTTTCCATCAACCCCATTTTATGTTTAACTATTTCCATTTGACTTTTAATCTTTTTTTGTGGATATTTTTGTAGTTCTTTCTTGAGTTTTCTATAGTCTTCATCTAACATTTGTTGTATTCGTCTTTTTTTAGTATTTCTTTTTCTCGTGTAGTCTATGATCAAGCCTCTAGCATAGGCCTTCATAGTATCCCATAAATTTTGTAGTGAAGTTTCCTCCTTGTTATTTTCTTTGAAGAAAAAAGCCAGTTCTTTTTCCATCTTTTGTGTAAATTCTTTTTCTTTCAATATTGCATTGTTCAAAGTCCATCTTGATCTTTTCTTTTGTCCCTGCCATTTGACCCATATTGGGTTATGGTCCACCCAAGTACTTGTTTCAATATTTACTTCTGGTATATTGGAGATTAGTTCCGTTGACATCCAAATCATATCTATTCTTGACCATGATGAATGTCTATTGGAGTAGAATGTATATTGTCTATTCTTAACATTCATTTCTCTCCAAACATCTTGAATGCTTAATTCCTTTACCATCTTGAAGAAGGATTTTGGAACTATCTATTTTGTTTGTTGGCTTTCTGTGTTGTACAGTCCAGCTTTCATCTACTATTCCATTAAAATCTTCCATAAGACATACTGTATATAATCATATTCCAGTTCTATAATTTTCTTGTGCAATTTTTAATAAAATTATTCTTGTTTTCCATTGGGAACATATATTGCCACTAAAAGTATCTTTGCATTATTGTCAATTATTTCCACCATTAATATTCTTCCTTCTTCATCTGTAAAAATTAATTCAGCTTTATTGTATTTTTAATGTATAATGCAACTTTAGTTTTGTCAGAAACTAAAATACCTAACACATGGACAGAGGTGTACATTACTCTCATACCAAAAGAGGACACTGACCGACAACACATCAAAAATTATAGGCCTATCTCCCTGCTGAATTCAGATTATAAAATTTTTGCCTCAATAATGACAGAATGACTTAAGAGATGCTTGAATAATTTTATACATATTGATCAAAATGTATGTCTGCCAAAGAGGCAAATCAAGGATAATATGAGAATAATTTTGAATACTTTGGAATATTATGAAACAGATCCTGAGAAACAAATGGCCTTGGTATTTTTAGATGCGCAAAAAGCCTTTGATAATGTAAATTGGCAGTTTATGATATTACAAATGGTACAAATGGGCTTTGGAGAAAGATTTATTAAACCAATTGAGGCAATATACCATAAGCAATCTGCTAAAGTAATGATAAATGGAGACTTAACAGATAATATTAACATTAAAAATTAGCATTTCAAATTCCCAGAGGTTGTGGGAGGAGCTGCTGGCTGCTTGTGAAGGAAGCAGAGGGTAAGTAAAAAGGAGAAAGACAGTGGCCCGTGTGCCTAACGGCGCATGAATCTTAACTATAAACCAAGAATATCAATAATACATTTAGGGTTAGTGCACTTGAGATTGTGATTTTATTTTATTTCAAAATGACCAGCTGAGTTCAATATAATACTTGTTTTACAGCTGTCTTTTGTAGTACTCTTTTCAAATTTGGATATTGTCCTCTTTGTAAAAAAAATCACCAGTCTACATGAACAGATTACCTATCTAGAATCTCTAATCTGTGCTCTCCAAGCAGAAATTAGGTGCCCAATCCAGCCATCTATTGACTTGCCATGCTACCAGCCCCCAATACCACAAAGATCCTACAGGAAAAAGGGCAGTATGGACAACCGTGGGATCTGGCAGGGTGAGAGCTGTGGACCATAAACACAAAGCTTTTGCTGTGTCCCAGCATAACAGATACAGTGCCCTTGCTGACCTTAATAGGGACACTAAAGTGACAGGTCAAGGTAGTTGTGAAAATAAATAAGCCAGAGATCATGGTCCTAGAAGAAGAACTTACTTTGGAAAGGAGAAAGTGTGAATCAGGTATTACGCACCAGTCACACAAGAAAAGCAAGGCATCCAAAAAGAGAAGCCACCTTCAGGTTGGGGACTCAATTGTAAGGGATGAAAATTTAGGAGGTTTTGAAAGAGGTCAGGTGTCTGCCAGGTGCTACTGCCAGCAGAGACAAGAGGAGTATTCTTAAGATAGTCAAGAATGCCAGTAAGGACTGTGATGTTGATGCTATTATACATCTTGGAACAAATGATCTGTCCCAGAAGGATGTACTTTCTGTTCACAAAGACTTCCAGAGCTTGGGGTATGAACTTAGTAATATGGGCTGTAGGCTTATCTTTTCAGAGATTCTACCAGTATACAAGGAACAAAAAGGGAAAGGGCAGCGTGTAGCAGAGTTTAATGTGAGGCTGAAGGAGTGGTGTAAAAGGGAAGGCTTTGGTTTTATTAGTCATGATGTCTGCAGCTGGTCCAATTAAAAACTGTACAAAAGAGATGGTTTGCATCCATCAAAGAAAGGGACTGAGTTACTTGGCATTAAATTCACAGATTTCCTGGAAAAACATTTAAACTGAACAGCGGGGACAGAGAATTAATGGATTCAGAACATTTCTGTCCCCAGCAACCTAAAACTAATAAGGATACCAGTGCATGCAAAATCGATGTTTGTGCAGGTAAGATTATCAACCTTGCTGCCAACCAAAACCAAGCATTGAATAGCGAGTGCCATACCATGTGCATTAATCAAACAGGTGGCAAGAAAGTAGGGGCAGGCAGGCACAACACAGGTTATGTAGACAGTAAACACAGCGTCAGACATAAAGATCTCAAGTGCCTATATATAGAAATGCACAAAGTCTGGGGAACAAACAGGGTGAACTCAAACTACGAATACATGAAGGTAAATATGATATAGCTGGAATAACAGAAACTTGGTGGGATGAAACCCATGACAGGAACCAGAGGTGCTATTCAACTGGTTCGCACCTATTCGGGCGAACCGGTAGCGGTTATTTGGCATGGGTCACCGAACCGGTGGCAATCCCTGGCTGGCCACGCCCCCAACCCTGTTGCCCAGTCGCTCACTTGCGATCGCTCTCCTAGCTTTCTGTTTCCCACGTCCTCTTTCTCCCCGGGGAAAAGGAAGAAAGGCATGGACACTGCAAGTATTACTTTCCCCTTGTGAGTTAAAGTGTCTGGAGTGAGAAAGAGTGTGGTCTGACAGAGGGGGTGGGGGTGAATCAAGCCTTGGAGCACTTTTGCAATGTAAAAGAAATGCATTTTGGAAGCAGGTCCTTTAAAAACTTCTCCAAGGATTCCCCATGGATGCTGCAAGTATCACTTTTCCCTTGTGAGTTAAAGTCCTGGTAAGGCAGGACATAAAAATATATTAATTTTAGAGAAATAATGATACAAGTTTTATAGATAGTGAAATATGTGGTATTAGGAAGAGGAAGAACAAGGAACTGTGAAATGCCAAACCACAAGGATCATCTATCGGCCACAAAGTCATATTTGCCAAGATACCTTGTCTCGTTTGTAACAAAACCACAAGCTAGGGAGTTTAGCAAGATGGGTTTGTGACATCCAGCCATCCTAGCCTAGCAACAGGGGAGGGGGAAAGCTGTGTTTCAAGTAACCAATGAATAACTGACAAGTTATATTTCTGTGTTTTGCCCCTTCTGAAGAAGTATATAGGCATGTGCTGTTCAATAAGAAAGTTGTTCAGAAGTGACTCTCACTAAAATACTCTGAACCTGTTTGCGCAAATAAAACCAACTTATTTTTGGATTCCAAGGTCTGAGTCTCGTAATTTCCTGCAACACTGGAGTGAGAAGGAGTGCGGTCTGACAGAGTGGGTGGGGGAATCCACTCAAGCCTTGGAGAAATTTAAAGAAGCTGCTTCCCAAATCCTTGTCTGTTAAGTGCTCTGTGTGTGTGTGTGTGTGTGTGTGTATGAGAGAGAAAGAGAGACAGAAAGAGAGAAAGAAAGAAAGAAAGAAAGAAAGAAAGAAAGAAAGAAAGAAAGAAAGAAAAAGAAAGAAAGAAATTGGAAGGTAGAGAAAGAAAGAAAACAAATAGGGAGAGAGATAAAACTCTGTGCTATTATTTTAAATTGTTCCATTATTTATCATGTGTTAATATTTTACGCTGTCCCTACACCTAGAGTGATTTTTCTGCCTTTCTTTTGCCCAGGGCTATCACATATTTTTCAGGGTTTACATGCATTCAATGTCAATAGTCCAGAGCATAAAATACACATGTGTTTAACAAGAGTTGAAAGGGACCTTGGAGGTCTTCTAGTCCAACCCCCAGCTCAGGCAAGAAAACTGAGGATGCCAAACTCTGAGTAGAAATCCTGGGAAAGGTGTGAGAATAATACTTAGAAGGGACCTTGGGGTGAACCCTATACCATTTCACAGAAATGGCTGTCCAGTCTTTTCTTAAAAACTTCCAGTGATTGAGCACCCAGAACTTCTGGAGACAGGCAGTTCCACTGGTTAATTGTTCTCACTGTCAGGAAGTTTCTCCTTAGTTTTAGGTTGCTTCTCTCTGTTCAGTTTCCATCCATTGCTTCTAGTTTGCATTCTGCTTCTTTGGAAAATACATTGTCCCCCTTTCTTTGTGGCAGCCCCTTAAAAGCCTGTTGCCTATCACCCTCTTGGGCAAAGCATGTGAGCCATTTCCTCCTTTCAGTGGTCCATGAAACTACATCTATAGTATGCAGATAATAAAGTCAAAAAAGGTGAACATTTTTACAGAACTATAGATAAGTTGATGCTGGGTGACAAGGAATGGCTGGGAGGGGAGGGGCCAGGTGAGGCACCCCTTGATGTGAGTGACATTGAGTTGGCCACGCCCACCCAGTCACATGACCACCAAGCCATGCCCACCAAATAAGCCACACCCACAGAACCGGTAGTAAAAAAAATTTGAATTCCACCACTGACTGGAACATACTGGTGGAAGGATACAAACTATTTTAAAAAAACAGACCCCATAAAAGAGGAGGTGGAGTTGCACTGTATGTAAAGAACCATTATATTGCTACAGAAATGCATTAAACCAAAGACGAAAACCTCCTTGAATGCATATGGGTCAATATAAAAGAAAAAAAGAATGACATGGCCATAGGTGTATATTATAGGCCACCCAATCAAGCAGAAAAAATAGATGTCCTTTTTGCCAGCCAACTAATAAACATAAGCAGGAAACACACAACTGTTCCATACTAGCGGGTTTGTAGGCCTGCATTCCTATTGGTCCGGAAAAGCCGGGCCGTGATTGGACAGAACTAAGCGTTCTGATTGGTTCTTATTCGTCTGCCGCGATTGGGTAAAACCAAGCACAGCAAGCTCAAATGCATGTCATAGGCTGCCTAGCCGCAGCCAGCTCTATAAAAGGAGCTGCCTCAGCTGGGAGTCTTGTCTCAGTATCTGGTTTCCTAATAAAGAGCTGTTGTCACTATTTCGAGTCTCGTCTCTCCTTGGGACCCATCTCCCAGACTTAACACTGGCGACGAGGATGGGATACTGAGACAACAGAGCTGACTAGCACGTGGCAGAGAGTGCATAGATGACCTGCAAGATGGCCAGCAGCGCCGTGCCACCCGCACCATTCAATCCGGCCAGCGAGGACTGGGAGTCCTACATTGATCGTTTCCAAATGTTCTTGGAATTAAACAACCTGAAGGACGCCACCGGCAGCAAGAAGCGAGCGGTTTTTCTAACACACTGCGGACCCGCCATTTTTAAAATGGCCAAGGCGCTCGCGAAGCCAACAGACGTCAAGACCATGGATTGGGATACCCTAGCTCCCATCCTCCGGAACCACTACGCCCCGGCGGTGCAGATTCTCATCCGTCGGCATGACTTTTACCAGAGGGATCAGCGCGAGGGTGAGAGCGTTGGAGAGTTTGTAGCTGACCTGAGGGACCTAGGAGGCTTGTGCGGATTCGCCAATCTAGACGAGGCCATGCGTGACCGAGTCGTCCTCGGCCTGAAAGACCCAACTCTCCAAAGCAGACTGATGGCTAAAGGAGACATCTCCCTCGCCGACGCCATAGCCGAAGCTACCGCAGCCGAGGCCACCCATAAGTCAGCAGCGCGAATGCGGCCTTCAAATGGAAACGACTGCCAACCCACCAGCGAGATGGCAACTGCAGCAGACAAACACGCAGCATCCACCCACCACGGAGACATCGAATCCCCCTCTGACAGCGAAGAGGAAGAAATTCACAGACTTCAGTCAGAACGCGAGCGACGAGACCAGTGCGGTTGTAAGTCGAGTTACCAATGTGCCGGCTGCGGAGGAAATCACCCGCATTCCAAATGCAAGTTCCTGGATGCTGTTTGCCGTTTTTGCGAAAAATGAGGGCATATTGCCAAAGTATGCCGTAACAAACGAAATTCCAGCCCCCGATGACAGGGAAACAGCCCAAGAAGAAGAGATGGCACCCCCACCATAAACTGGGACCGCCATAATGGCAGCCGATGGAACCGGGACAGCCGACCCAGGAAGTTTGTCGAGGCACCCAGAAGAGAAGAAACGCACCAAACAGTCACCATCGGCCACGCTTCATCAATAGACGCACGAAAGATACGTGTAGAGGTCAACATCGAGAATCAGCCTTGCACCATGGAGGTAGACTCCGGTTCCTCCCTCTCTATGGTCTCCTGGAGGACCATCAAAAGACTAATTCCCAGCATCCGCCGCCAAGAGCTTAGCAACCAGAAGCTAATATTAAGAGACTATCAAGGTAATTACATTCCGGTCATTGGCACTGGACATTTTCAAGCCTCGTTCAGAAACCACACCACCATCCTACCACTCATAATCGTCAATAAAGACAGACCCAGCCTACTCGGGTTGCAGTGGTTCGCACCGTTAGGGATCGAGATGGCAGGCATCAACCACACAGAAGACGGAAACTGGGAAACAACGCTTATCCAGGTCTTCCAAGAAGTCTTCAGTGAACATCTAGGCAAGTACAAGGGGTCCCCTATCTCCTTTAATCTCAGCCCTGACATTGCTCCCATCCGTCTCAAGCCGCGCTTAGTGCCTTTTGCACTCAAGCCTAAAATAGACGAACAATTAGACAAACTAATAGCGCAAGGCATGTTAGAACCCATCGATCATGCCCGTTGGGAGACCCCAATTGTCACCCCCATCAAACCCAATGGCTCCCTGAGAATTTGTGGTGACTACAAGGCCACCCTCAACCACGCATTGCAGCAGAGTGCCTACCCGGTGCCAGTAGTCCAACATCTCCTGCACTCACTAGGGGGTGGCAAGGTCTTTGCAAAGCTCAACCTGGCTCAAGCTTATCAACAACTGCCAGTCAATGCTGAAACCGCTGAAGCCCAAACAATAGTGACACATAGAGGGGCGTTCAAATGTAACCGGCTCCAGTTTGGGCTCAGCGTCGCACCAGGCATTTTTCAAAGTCTAATGGAGAGATTGTTGCAGGGAATTAAAGGAGTCGTGCCCTATTTCGACAGCATCCTGGTAGCAGCCCCTACCATAAAACAATTGGAAAAATGACTGAGGGCGGTCCTACAGAAATTCAAAGACGCTGGCCTCAAGGTGAAAAAGGAAAAGTGCCAATTATGCACTGAAAGGGTTGAATTTCTTGGCTACCTCCTTGACAAACAAGGAATTCACCCCACAGATAAAAATTGAAAGCCATCAAAAATGCCCCCAGACCAAAGAACAAAACGGACCTCCAAGCCTTCCTTGGACTCATTAACTTCTATAACATTTTTCTACCCCAGAAAGCAACTGTCGCAGAACCTCTGCATAGACTCCTTGATAAAAAGGCTTCCTGGTTATGGGGACGGCGAGAAGACCACGCTTTTCACCAGATAAAAAACCTTTTGACTTCAGATGCAGTCCTCATGCAATACAATGAAACGTTACCTCTGACTGTTACTTGCGACGCATCGCCTTTCGGGGTTGGCGCCATCCTGAGCCACGTTTTAGCAAATGGAACGGAAGCCCACGTTGCATTCTTTTCCAGGACATATGGCTGCTTCGTGCCCCAAGAAGCAACAAGGGGCGTCGGCCCCAGGGCCTGCTCCCTGTACCCAGCAAACTTGTTCGGTTCCTGTGCCTGCTCCCCATTCCCAGAAAACCTTGTCGGGAAATGGGCAGAGCCCAATCTAGGGGAGACCCTGGGTTGGGCGCGCACAGGACTCGACTCATGTCCCACAGACATGGATTCTGGACTCCCTCGGCATTTGATCCTGGCGACCCAAGTGTTCCTGGCCAATAGTTCCCATGGGATTTCAGCGCATGCTCTGGTGGATTCCGGCGCCACCACAAACTTCATGGACGTGGCCTTCGCAGCAAAGTATGCAATCCCCCAGTGCTCTGTAGAACCTCCTCTGCTTGTTGAGACCATTGATGGCTGGGTACTTTTGTTTGGGCCTATCAGGCCCAGCCCTTGCACCTGACTATCAGCTTGCATGAGGAGGTGATCCAGTTTTACCTCACTTCCGGATTGCATTTCCTTGGCGTAGCTTTGGACTCATGACCCCCAAATCTATTGGTCCCAGAACATGATCACGTTCCCAAGCCTGCAGTGCGTGGACCACACCTGTCAAGTCTGCACAGGGCAGGTGATGAGTCCACCCAAGGTGTCCGTGCCTTCAGAACTCAAGGACTTTGCAGATGTTTTTAGTGAGCAGGAGGCGGACTAATTGCCCTCGCACCGGCCTTGTGATTGCTCCATTGATTTGGTGCCCGACGTGCCCCTTCCTGTGGGCCATTTGTATTCCATGTCAGATCCGGAATTGGCCATGTTGCGGGACTTCTTGGACAAAAACCTCGCTTGGGGGTTTATTCAGCCCTCGTCATCGCCTTAGTCTGCCCTGGTCCTGTTTGTTAAGAAAAAGACAGGCGACTTGCGCTTATGCTGTGACTACCGTTGGTTGAATGCAATCATGGTGTGCAATCGGTAACCTCTGCCTTTGATTCTGGAACTGATGGAGTGGCTCCGGGAGGCTACCGTGTTCACGAAGTTGGACCTGCATGGGGTGTACAATTTGATGTGGATTCAGTCCAGAGATGAGTGGAAGACAGCGTTCAGGACCAGGTACAGCCATTTTGAATATACGGTCATGCCATTTGGGTTGACCAATGCTCCCACTGTCTTCCAGCATTTTATGAAATACATCTTCCAGGACCTCCTTGATCAGTTTGTGGTGGTTTACCTCGATGACATTTTGATTTATTCCAAATTGAGGGATAGCCACCTGCACCACTTGCGCCTGGTTCTGCAACGGCTCTGGGATAACTGCTTGTACGTCAAGTTGGAGAAGTGCCAGTTCTTCCAGTCCACCATCGAGTTCCTGGGACACTGCATCTCTCCGGAAGGCATTTCCATGGAGCCGAGTAAGGTCGAGTCGTTGCTTAGTTGGCAACCTCCCTGGCGAGTGAAGGATGTCCAGAGACTCCTTGGGTTTGCCAACTATTATTGGACCTTCATCTCCAGCTTTGCTTCCCTGACTGCGCCTCTCGCTCGGCTCCTTCAGAAAAAGGTTCTGTTCTGGTGGGGTGTTCCTAAGCAGCAGGCATTCCAGGCTTTGAATCATGCCTTCATGACAGAGCCAATCCTGAAGCACACTGATCCACATCGTCCATTCGTGGTAGAAGTGGGTGCATCAGATGTGTCGGTTGGTGCGGTGCTCCTCCAGGTTCACGCCTCTGGTGGTACCCTTTTCCCTTGCACTTATTCTTCCAGGAAGCTCAATCCTGCTGACCATAACTATACCATCTGGGAGAAGGAGCTACTGGCCATTAAGATGGTGTTTGAGGCCTGGAGGCACCATTTGGAGGGGACATGCCATCAAGTAGAAGTCTGGACAGACCATAAGAATTTGGAGCATTTAAAGACTGCCCGGAAATTAAATCAGTGCCAGATCCAGTGGTCCCTTTTCTTTGCCCGCTTTAATTTTTGTGTCACCTACATTCCAAGTGGTCGCAACCAATGGGTGGACACACTCTCCCAGAAGCCTGAGTACCTGTGTCCAGAGGATCAACTCCCGCTCCGGATGGTGCTGCCCCTAGAGTCATTCACGGCTGTGCAGGAACCAGTGGACTTACAGGCACAGATACAGGAGGTGCAGCAGCACAATGCTTGGGCAGATCAGCAGAGGCAAGAAGTGGGACCTAACTCACTGTGGTCATTTGAGGAGGAACTCTTGCACTACTGCGACAAACTCTATGTCCCGGCAGGGCCGCTCCGGGGACTTATCTTGTCACAGTGCCATGACAACCCTGCAGCAGAGCACTTCGGCCTGTACAAGGCATTGCACCTCATGTCTCGGACTTTCTGGTGGCCCCAACTACAACACGATGTGCAGTCCTATGTGATGTCTTGCGTGCGATGCCGGCAGGCCAAGTCAGTGACAGGGGCTCCCCCAGGACTGCTCCAGCCTTTGCCCACACCAGAGAGACCTTGGGGTACCCTGTCAATGGACTTCTTGACAGATCTGCCCCCCTTGTCAGGATTCACCACGGTGTTCATGGTGGTTGACATGCTGACCAAATGGCGCACTTCGTTCCATGTCAGGGCTTACCCACAGCTCACACCACGGCCCGCATGTTTATCCAGCAGATCTTCCGGCTACGTGGTCTCCCAGATTGGGTGGTATCAGACCGAGGGACGCAGTTTACCACCCAATTCTGGAAAGGGCTGATGACGGCTTTGGACGTTAAGATCTGTTTGTCATCTTCTCACCATCCGGATACCGACGGCAGGACGGAGAAAGTGATTGGAATCCTGGATCAGTACCTGCACTGCTTTATCAATCAGCAACAGGATAATTGTGTGGACTACTTAGCAGTCACAGAGTTTGCGTTCAATAACTCTCAGCATACCTTCATGCAAACCACCCTGTTCCTCACCAAAGTGGGTTACCACCCTCGGTTCTTCCCCTTGATGCCACTCAACTTGCTGGTTCTGGAGGTGAAGGATTTCTTGTCTGAGTTGCAGGCCGTTCACCAACTGTTGCAACAGTATTTGGAGAAAGCTAAGGAAGACTACAAGCAAGTCACGGACTGCTCTCGGAGACCGCTGCTGCCATTGGCTGTGGGAGATTGGGTGTGGTTGTCTACTTGGCATCTTCCATTAGACCAGCCAGTGAGGAAGCTTGACCATCAGTACCTTGGCCCGTTCCCTGTAGAGGCGGTGATTAACCCAGTCGCCTACCATCTGAAGTTGCCTCGCTTGCTACAGGTCCATCTAGTTTTCCATCGTTCCCTTCTGGTTCCCGAACAGCCGGCCTGTCCGCTCTGCCAATCTGACCCTTCTCCGCCAGCACCACACGATGGAGACAGTCCATCAGAGTACGAGGTCGCCAGTATTTGAGACTCTCGGTGGTTGAAAGGGTGATTCCAATACCTGATTGAATGGAAGGGGTACAGACCAGAGGCGTTCACTTGGGAGGATGTGACTTCCATCCATGCTTCAGCTTTGGTGGACGCATTTCATGCACAATTCCTGTCTCAGCCGCATCTGGACTGTCAGACCCAGGGGAAGGGCCCTGCACTGAGGGATAGTGTTGTGGTGAGCTGGAAGCAGGTGCAGATGGCTAAGGAGAGTGAGGAAATGAGGAAAGCAACGGCTACAGGTTCATTGATCCCTACGTCCTCCTCTCCACTCAGTGGTCAGTGGTCAATACACACCATGTTGCAGCAGGAGAAAGAGAGAGAGAAGGAGAAAGAAAAGGAAGTCACATTACAAATGATAATGCAAGCAAAACAAAGAATAGAGGACAGAACAGAGAAAACAGATGAGAAAGTAGAGAATATACAACAAATTATGATGAAAAATGAAGGAAGATTTCAAAAGATAGAAGAAAAAGGTGACCAGAGTGAGAAAAAAAATTGAGAAATTGACAGCAGACTGACAGTTGTGGAACAGGACAAAGGAAGTGGAATGTTGGCCTGGAAGATGGACTGGGCAGATTTCTATCTCAGATTACAAAATATCGAGGAAGAGAAGGGAGAACATTTTGCAGAAATAATGATAGAAATGCTGGCCGGTGCTTTGAAGATATCCAAAGAGAAAATGATGGGTGGAATAGATGAAGTGTTCTGAGACTTTACAAGATATGCGATGAGAAATAAACTACTTAGAGAAGTCCATGTAAGATTTACTAAGAAAGCAATCAAAACACAAATATTACAAAGTGCAAGAGATGACCCACTGAAATACAAAGGAAAGGAGATTACAGTCGTAAAACAAGTACCAAGAAAAGTGAGAGACATAAGAAGAAAATATCAATTCTTGACAAAAATTTTTAATAAAGAATGGAGTCAACTTAGATGGTTGATTCCAGAGGGGCTTATATTTACCTGGCAAGAACAATAACATAGGTTGGATTCAACAGAGAAAGCAGAACTATTTTATGGAGAATACTTTTGAGGAAAAGAAGAAGAGAGGATACGAGAGGAGGGAATAGTTAAATTACAAGAGGAGAAGGTTGAAGCAAGAGACAAGGAAACATGGGATGAAAAGATATCTGAAGAGGGAGCAGTAGGTGGAAGGGTAGAATTGAAAGAAATAAGAGAGCAAAGAACTACGACAGCAATAAACCCTACATATAAAGTATAAACTATGGAAGAAAAGAAAATGATTACAATAAATACAAATGGATTGAATTCAGCCATCAAAAGGAAAAAAACATTTCACAAATTAGAAAAATTAAAATTAGATATAATCTGCTTGCAAGAAGTTCACATAAAAAAACATGTTCAAGTACTGAAACATCCTAAAATTGGGAAATTATATACATAATTGGCGCAACAAAAAAAGAATAGTAGTCTTATATATCAAGAATACAATTAAAGTTGAATTAATTTTCACAGATGAAGAAGGAAGAATATTAATGGTGGAAATAATTGACAATAATGTAAAGATGCTCTTAGTAGCAATTTATGCTCCCAGTAAAAAGCAAGAAGAATTCTACAGGAAACTACATAAGAAAATAATAGAACTGGAATATGATAATATATGTATTATGGGAGATTTCAATGCGACAGTGGATACAAACATGGACTATACAACACAGGAAGTTAAAAAACAAAGCAGAAAGATAGTTCCAAAATCCTTCTTCAAAATGGTAGAGGAATTAAGCATTCAAGATGTTTGGAGAGAAATGAATGTTAAGAATAGACAGTATACATTCTACTCCAATAGACATTCGTCATGGTCAAGAATAGATATGATTTGGATGTCAACAGAACTAATCTCCAATATACAAGAAGTAAATATTGAAACAAGTACTTGGGCGGACCATAACCCAATATGGGTCAAATGGCAGGGACAAAAGAAAAGATCAAGATGGACTTTGAACAATGCAATATTGAAAGAAAAAGAATTTACACAAAAGATGGAAAAAGAACTGGCTTTTTTCTTCAAAGAAAATAACAGGGAGGAAACTTCACTACAAAATTTATGGGATACTATGAAGGCCTATGCTAGAGGCTTGATCATAGACTACACGAGAAAAAGAAATACTAAAAAAAGACGAATACAACAAATGTTAGATGAAGACTATAGAAAACTCAAGAAAGAACTACAAAAATATCCACAAAAAAAGATTAAAAGTCAAATGGAAATAGTTAAACATAAAATGGGGTTGATGGAAAAAGAGGCATTAGCTCAAAAAATTAGGAGTGCCAAACAGAACTTTTTCCAAAATGCAAACAAACCAGGTAGATGGTGAGCATATAAATTGAAAAAGGAGAGAGAAATGAAAAAGATAATACAACTTATAGATGATCAAGGAATGGTTTGCAATGGAAATGAAGAAAAGAAAAATGTTAGGCATCCAGAATTGACCATGGTAATCAATCACTCTGAGACAAGTATAATCTCCAACTGATTTATTAGGAACAGCTCTGGTACTTTTATTGAATTTCCAAACTGAAAGTCATTTTCAGCACGTTTCACAAAATCCACCTTCTCTCCTTCCACTTCTTACACTTCATTAATCACAAGAGCCAGTTAACTGCAGCTGGAATTTTTTAATGTGACATATGAAATAACCTTGAACTTTCCAATTCCTCCACCCCCCTTTGCATTTCTTATAACAATCTTGGCAGATGAATCTCAGAGATGACAGGCGTACCCCCTTGAAAACTCCTCCTAAAAGAAAAACAACCAAAACAGATACAGGGGTTAATACATTGTCTTTAACCCCCTCTCCCCCCTCCACAAGGACCCTTTGGTTTGTGGGGGAAATCCTCATGGAATTGGGTAACCAATTGATCAGCATGGACATCCCAACTCTTTACCCAACTGGCATCTGAGAGAGGGTATCCCTTCCATAAGATTAAATATTGCAATTGTCCATGGTGTAATCTAGAATCGAGAATTTTGTCAATTTCATAATGTGTTTCCCCCTGTACTGTTAACAGGTCAGAGGGAGTGATTGGCACTGGTCTTATCATTGATGTAGCAGCTGGTTTTAGCAAACTACAATGGAACACTGGATGAATCTTCCTTCATAGTTGAGGAAGACTCAATTGGACAGTGACCGGATTGAGTATTTTTGAAATTGGGAATGGACTCAAGAATTTTGGACCCAGCTTCTTACTGGGCAGTTTCAACCTAAGATACTTGGTTGACAAATATACTTTGTCTCCCACTTTAAAGGGTGGTTGAAGGGATCTATGTTTATCTGCCTGTTTTTTATAATTTTTTGCAGCTTTGGTCAAAGCTTTTTTTGTATCTTCCCACCCTTTTTTTAATGAGTTCATCTATTCTGTTTGGGACATGGATGTGGGAGGTTGTCTAGGTAACTCTGGCATTGAGACAAAGTCCATTCCAGTGTTGATTTGAAATGGAGTCAATCCCATGCTGCTATGTACTGCATTATTGTAAGCAACCTCTGCAAAAGGTAATCATTCAGCCCAATTTTCTTGTTGATAATTTACATAGCATCTAATGCTATGTACATAGCATCTAATGCTATGTTCAATCAACTTCAAAAATTCCCTCCAAAATTTTGTGGTAAATTGTACCCCTCTGTCTGATATTATTCTACGAGGTACTCCATGTAGTCTATAGATATGTTTCACGAACAGCTTTGCAAGCTTTTTCGCAGATGGAAGTTCTTTACAGGCTCTAAAGTGGGCTTGTTTAGAGAATAAATCAATTATAGTCCAAATGATCGTATTCCCTTCACTCTCAGGTAATTCCACAATAAAGTCCATTGCGATTTCTTCCCACGGTTGGGTTGGTTCAGTGACTTGTTGAAGGAGGCCAGGTTTTTTTTTCAGTTCTGTGTTTCATTGTGGTACAAATTGAGCAACTTTTTACATAGTCCTCGACGTCAGGTTTCATTTTTGGCCACCAGAACTGTCTTCATAGTAAATGTAGGGTTTTTAGGAATCCGAAGTGGCCTCCCAGCCGTGAGTTGTGGCTACGCTTTAGTACCAGTAGTCTTAGGGTTGTGGGTACATAAAGCTTAGTCCCTTTCCAAGCTAGTCCCTCATTCACTGTTTACTCGTTTTGATGGTCCAGGAACCAAGGATCAGTCAATAGGGCAGTTTTCAATTCTGTGGTCAGCTTATCTTCCAGGCGTTTGGGGTTGACGCTGGCTTGGGCTCGAGTGGTTACTTGGCCTGCCGATTGAGCTCCTGAAATTAAGGCTTGTACTATTTCCTCTTGGTGGCTGTCAAACTGAGGTTTTCTGGACAGGGCATCCGCCAATATGTTTTTCTCTCTGGGGATATATTTAATGTTGAAGTTG